TTCCTCAATATTACTTTTTAAATATTTTGTTTATAAAAAAAACGCTGATGATAAAAGTGAATGAGGTTTATTAGATTGTGGTAGGTATCAAATACCGAATCCCAAATCATCAGAAAAATCCGTTATTACAAACCCTAGAAAGAGCACTGACTCCGATCGATTTCCACATCTTCATCTTCATAACTTTCTCGAACAGGCGTCAGTACGGAAAGATACACAATACGTTAATAACAACTGTTCTTTCTGGTAGATATTTGGTGGTCATTACCATTCTGGTGTTCATTACCTTCTTAAACTTGTTGAGGCGAAGAGAATCGTGCCATGTTCTTGATTCAAGATTATAATACAATCTCCCATTTTATAATCTAGACCTCTGAATGAAGATCATGATACCATTGTCTACTGTAAATTCAACAAATTTGAATCATGGTCATTATAACACTGTAGGTTTATTCTGAATCATGGTGGTACGACCAAGTCTAAACAATCGTGATCAGTATTAGAGTAAACGCTTTTTTGCTTGCTCTTAAGAAACCTGTTGTTTAATCCTACATATATCATAAAATCTCCATCTTACTTATAAAGGACCACCATTAGTAGAGCTATACTTCACTACAAAGTCAACGATGACAACTGATTCTGCTCATTAACTTATATAGTCTTTCATACTGTTTCTATAATGTTCTGGAAATATAGCTCTATAACTTTCCTCAATATTTTATGGAAAATGTTTGGTTCTAAATATAAAATAAGATAGGGTGCAAAGACACCTCAGATTGTATAAGTAAGTACAAACAGTATTCAAAACACTCTTAATGCAAAACACGTGAAGTTAAAACGATGCGGATTAGTAGTTATAAAGGGATTTAGTAAAAGTGAATGTATTGTGTGTCACAGCCGCTCTGGCTCAACATGTACTGAGTAATATAGGTTTTAAATTACACTAGTGCAAATGCACCTCAGGTGGTATATATATATAGAGGGTCAAATTTACACTCTGAATTTTCTTCATATCTCAACATTTTGTGTATTTTACACATTCAGTGTAACACTCTGAATTTTCTTCATATCTCAACATTTTGTGTATTTTACACATTCAGTGTAACACTCTGAATTTTCTTCATATCTCAACACTTTGTGTATTTTACACATTCAGTGTAACACTCTGAATTTTCTTCATATCTCAACACTTTGTGTATTTTACACATTCAGTGTAACACTCTGAATTTTCTTCATATCTCAACACTTTGTGTATTTTACATATTCACTGTAACACTCTGAATTTTCTTCATATCTCAACACTTTATGTATTTTACACATTCAGTGTAACACTCTGAATTTTCTTCATATCTCAACACTTTATGTATTTTACACATTCAGTGTAACACTGAATTTTCTACATATCTCAACACTTTATGTATTTTACACATTCAGTGTAACACTCTGAATTTTCTTCATATCTCAACATGTTATGTATTTTACACATTCAGTGTAACACTCTGAATTTTAGTTTCTTCCAGCTCAATTCTTTATCCATAGTTGTGGTGTTAAGGCTGCCCCGTAAAATGTTTATAATTCAACCTATTTGAGACACAAACTCACGGTTTTGTATTTCCGTTTCTACTTAGATAATTCCCACAAATTTTCCACAGCTAATTAAATACAGCTTTAGAGACGTGCTGCTTTTACTCACAGACTAGAAATGTACAGTAATCTTTTAATATGACAATCCTCGTTGAAGTTGTTCTACGAAGTAGAAATTCTATCACAAAAGAATATCGCATGTAACGTGAAGTTTACTTTTCACTTACTGTTGTGAAAGATTACTGAAAATTTACTATGTGTTGTTTTATAAAAGTCTCACATATGGTATAATATTACTTGTAAGCTCCGTTTTAATATTTTTTTAGACGGTTTGTAGTGTTTGATAGAAATAATTTGGGCCTGGCGTATTTATTATGTGTGGCACTTAAAATTTTTCTGAGCGTTTACATTTGAAGTAACGTGGATAAAAACACAAGAGAGTTATTGTTGATTAGTGAGCTAGTTAGTTATTGAGTTGTTACAATATTCTCGATGGATTATTGAGTTAACAAATATGTTCATCAGCCAGTTTTGACTTTGTGCCTTAGATATGAGAGAAAATTTAACAACTTTAGTTTTATTTGTGAATTAGGCCTATCGCTCGATGAGTTTGTAGAGCTTGTGGTAGAATAAATAAAACGCTTTTACTTCCGTCAAGTGACTGAATCATTTTGATTGAATATCAGAAAGAAACCGTTTCAACAGTATAAAACAAAAGTCGTTGGCATTCTAGAACATAACAAGGATAAGATTGATTTATTGACTATCGTAAGTTACAAATACTTTAGCTTTTATAAACAATAATGATATTTTTTACTAAAAACATTTGAAATGACGTTAGGCCGACAGTTATACTTAGCTGTAGACATAGCTTTAAAGATTTTTATTTTATTAGTATCATTCAGTAAATGAATTTAAATCTCGTCAGGCAGTAAGAATACCTACTAAATTTGTAAGTACTTTTGAAATGTGTATTTTATTCAATACAAATTTTAACGTTAAAAGTTTGTCTCTTTGATGTTCTTAGTTAATACTAGTATTCACATCTACATTAAATATACTCTTCACCAGCATATGAATTCATATGAAATAAGGTTTGGAAATAGACGAATCAGACTCCACATATTTAATTTAACTCGTTAGAGACAAATTACTGGCATTTCAAGTTCACAATGTGCAGTAGTATAATATTGTGGTATTAAACAAATGCAATATTTACATATTTGTATAAGTATAGTGATATACGCAGTTGTTTTGCATTATTTGTTACTTTGAACTTGACATAGTTTTCTTGAATTACTTTTATGCATTCAGAACATAAGTCACACAAACAAGTAGTATTTTTTTATGTTCTGATGGACGAAAGGGTCAGCTGTTGTTAAATTTTCCTTGTATTTTCCCAGAGTTTAATTGTTCTCAACATGTCATTGGATATTACTTTAAGATACTACTTCTGCAGGAAAAAAAGGTCGAAATTAGGGTGCAAAGTTCAACCAGAGGATCCAAACCTCAATCGTCAGAGCAAACAAATAATCAAGGGGTAAAAGTGTCAACCTCATTTGTCTTTTTGTGTCATTTGCTCAAGTGAAAGATGTTTACAGTCAATGTTTTATTACATGGAGATTTTCTAATCTTAGCGACAAGTGTCAGACATGGGTGGAAGATTCCTTATCGAAAATTATTGGAGTTTCAACATTACAGTTTATGTTGAATTTGTATGTCTGATAAACACAGACCATTCTTTTTAATTCCAAATATCTACAAATGTACGTGACATATACAACTGTTCGAGTGAGAAATGTGCACTGTAAAAATGAAATTAGATAAAGTAAATCAATCACTTTGGAAAAACACGTGAGAAGCAACGTAGATGTGACTTTACCTTAGGGATTTGCTGAATCAAGCTGTCTCAGCTTATATCTCCGGGGCATATCATGAACATCTGGTATAGCTTAGTCACTAGGCAAAACCGGCTCATTTGTTGTATATTTAATGCTGCTTGGCTATGATTTGACAGGGTATGATCAAATTTAGCAATAATATATTCTGCCTAGTTCATCAAGTTATTAAGGAACTTGTTATTTTGAGTATTTTTCGAGGCCAAAGCTTTCTGTTTAGTGTAATGTTTAGTCCTGAAAAACAAAAGATCTGCCACTTGTTTGTTTGTTTTTGAATTTCGCGCAAAACTACACGAGGGCTATCTGCGCTAGCCGTCCCTAATTTAGCAGTGTAAGACTAGAGGGAAGGCAACTAGTCATCACCACCCACCGCCAACTCTTGGGCTA